CCATGAACCCCATGACAAAGCCCCTCCTGCCCTGCTGTGTACAAACAGCAGCCACATCACTAAACCTGATATTATCACCTTTTTCCCTGGCAAAATTTGACACCAGGATGGGAAGAATCACACCACAAACTGCCAGCTTGTCCCAGACTAATTTGTTCAAAGTGCTGGTTGACATGAAGAAGGAATATCTATTTATCAGTCCCCGTTTCCATGAGAAATACAGAAATTGTGTTGGGCAGAAATCAAGGCTGGCTGGCACAAAACTTAACTTGTGGCCCACTGAAACCTACTCCAAATGCACATTAGAAAATACTGATTAAAAGGAAGAGTTAAGTTCCTTACAGGTCACTGAAATCTTGAGGAGAGTTTTGCTCAGAAAGTTGAAGACTAAAGAGGGGGGGAAATGGGGACTTAAAAACTGGAAAAAAAACGATGGAAAAAAAGGGAACAGCTCCAGGCAGCTCACCTTGACCTCGATGAAGTCTGGTTTTCCAAGGGATATCAGCTCAGCATAAGCTTTGAGTTCATCCACATTCCAAGCTTTCACCAGGGTCAGCCTGTAAACCGTGCGCTGCTCCTGGAATCAAGGAAAAAATCCCATTAGGATCCCACTCTGGCACAGGGATGTTCCAGCCCTGGGACTTCAAAGAGGAAAAAAGAGATTAAATCATTCCTTTATTCCAGAGATTGAACCAAAGCAGGAGCCTCCTCCCTTGTTCTTTCAAGGCATTTACTCCCCAGCATCGGAGCTGAGCCACCTTATCCCACAAAATGACTGATATTCCTCCTGGATTTCCCAGGCACTTCGTTTTTACAGGAGCTTTAACTTAATGGGAAAATAACCAGGAAATTTAACTCTCTTTGATTTGCTTCCCCAGGCATAAAATGGCCCCATTAGTTACAGATGTTTTCGTTCATCTGGCACTGGTGACTTCCATAGGAACACGGACTCATCCAGGTTGGAAAAGCCCTCTGAGATCCTCAAACCCAGCCATTCCCCAGCACTGCCAAGGCCACCACTGCCCCCTGTCCCCAAGGGCCACACCCACGTGTGTTAAATCCCTCCAGGGCTGGGGACTCCCCCACCGTCCCGGGCAGCCGGGCCAGGGCTGGACAAGCTTTTCCATGGAGGAATTTTGCCCAGTATCCACCCTGAACAGTGACAGCACTCACAGAGCTTCTGTCCTTGGAGCTGTTCTGATCTGCCCTCCAAGGGCTGCTCTCCAGAGAAGCTCCTGGGGACAAAAGGACTCTCCACACGAGCACTTGGCCACGGAACAAATCCACTCTCGCCGTGACATCCGCTTGTTTCCAGCTTTTCCAGCTCCCATTGATGTTTTATTTCACTTATTTTTGGAATTTTATTTCGCTTATTTTTGGAATTTTATTTCCCTTATTTTTGGAATTTACTTACAGAGCAGTTTTCCCAGCAGAAGGGCTCTTTGATTAACTCCTTTGCCATCCCCCCCCACTGTAAACTATAAAAGGGGACAGTTCAGCCAGAGGGAAAGAGCCCTCAACAAATCCACAGCAACAAACCCACAGCAGCTCCAGGCTCCTCAGCTGGGCCCAGCCTGGATCCCAGCCTGGATCCTATCCATTTTCTATCATTTTTGTGGCTTTTGGGTTCTTTTTATTAAGTTTTATATTCTCTTGTGATTTTAGTTTGGCCTTTTTGTCCCTTCTAACCATTTTACCAATTCTGGGTTTCTTTAGTACTTTTAAATGATATTTATCAAATTTATATATTTTTTAATATCTTTTTATAACTTTTAACCAATTTTGCCCACTTTCCTTCCCTTAACCCCATTTATTTGTGCTCATTTTTTGCTAGTTTTGGTTCATTTTTCCTTAATTTCATTTTTTAAAAAATATTTCAGAATTCACACCAATTGTCTTGTATTTGTTGGTTGGGTTTGGCTGTTTTTAACCAAATTTGGGTGTTTTCCCCCCAGGCAGTACCTGCCCCACAACTCCTGGCAGCACTGACAAGGAATAACTGTGCATCCATCACTTCCATAACTGAACTATCCCAAAAACTGTATTAATTAATCACAACCGGGGAGGGAAAGCAGGGAAAGAAACTCAAGTGGATACAGGAAACAGGTAGGAAAATCAAAATTTACTGTTGTGACTGAAGAAGCCTCTTTCCAGAGGGCAACATCTCCCAAGTGTTTCTAGGAAAAGCTGGAGAAGGGACACATCAAAATGACTAAACAGGCCCAAAATGTTCTCTGGGAGTAATCCTTGAGGAATGCCAGCAGTCAGATTGCTTTATTCATGTTTTATTTGTATTTGTTGTACAACAGAGCCCCAGGAGAGCCTCTTATAAGTGCAGCAAACCAAGAAATAAAGAGCTTAAACCCCGAGAATTCAACGAGCTGAGGCGGCGGGATCTCAAAGCAGGCTGAGGTTCTGCTCCCTGCTTTTCCCGGGAAAAGCAACTTATTTCCCCCCCTGCAGGCATCAGGGGAAGGGGAGAGGAAGAGGAGTTAATCAAATAACAAACCCTGTGGAGGGGAGGGCGAGTCAAGGGTGTGGAACTGCATCTGTTTGACACCAAAAAGCTCCGGGGGCAGAGGAGCAGCCCCGGGAAGGGGCAGGAGCACAGATGCCCATCGGGTGGCAAAGGAAATCCAGGTTATCAGGGCAGGCCGGTCTAACACACAGCCCTGGGGTTTCCTTGGGATTGCCCCACATCCATTAAAGGCACCTTAATATAAAATATTGTCCAAGAAATATCTTAACAGGGGGAAAACCACTGAGAGGCACTTTGGCACGTGTCACTCAGTCCCCGAAATCTTTCCAGTCTTGCTCTCTGGAGGACACAAACCCCCTCAGGGTTGGCAGGATGCTCACAAAACAGAGATTCTGGGCTTTGTCCCTTGATGGATTCTCAAAGCTACAGAGCAACAGGCACCTTTCTCTATGGGGGTCCCAAAAATGCAAGTTCCAGGGTGCAGCTCAGCCTTGTGTTCCCCAAACGCTTCGAGGGCAAAGGAATGAAGATCCTACCTGGGGAAAAGCAGTATTTTCCCTTCAGGCAATTCCTGCTAAAAATTCCTGCTAAAATCCTGCCAGGCTGCCCTGAAAAAGCACTGCAGCCTTTCAGTGGCAGGACAGGGCACAAGGGAAGCACAAACCTGAGCAGGGTTAGGGGAGGATATTTAGGATAAAAAAAGCCTTTCGTTGAGTGGATCTGAGGTCCTGGTCTCTCAGAAGATCTGGGAAGTGTCATGGCCCCAAGGCTGCCAGAGCTCAGGGAGTGTTTGGACAACACTCTCAGGGGCAGGGTGGGATTTGGGGTGTCTGTGCAGGGCCAGGGCTTGGACTGGATCCTTGTGGGTCCCTTCCAGCTCAGGATATTCTATAATAATACAAATGCTGACACCCTCCAGGCCAGAAAGGGTTAATAAAGGACCTGGTGTCACTTTGACAAAGTGTTCCCTTCCCACTTCAATAACCAAGAGGGATTGGGGCTGCTTCTTTTTTATCATTTCTTTTTAATTCCCTCCTCCTCAACATTCATCTTCTCGTAGATCAAACAGAATTGTTCTCCACGAAACAGCCCAGGGCTGATCTCAGGAGGGACAGGGAAGGGGGGACACCCCAAATGTGCAGCAAAGAGCAGGGGGTGGAGTGATCCCAGGGGAGCATCATCTCCCTTCTCCAGGTGGGGCAGGAGAGGATCATCAGCTCCCTTCTCCAACCAAAGCAGGGGAACATCTCCTTTCTCCAAGTGGGAAAAGGAAGCACCTCCCTCCTCCACCCAAAGCAGGGGAACATGTCCCTTCTCCAAATGGGGCAGAGGGAGCATCTCCCTTCTCCAAGTGGGACAGGAGAGGAACATCAGCTCCCTTCTCCAGTTGGGGCAGAGGAGCATCTCCCTTCTCCAAGTGGGGCAGGAGAGGATCATTATCTCCCTTCACCAACCAAAGCAGAGGAGCATTTCCCTTCTCCAAGTGGGACAGGAGAGGAACATCAGCTCCCTTCTCCAGGTGGGGCAGAGGGAGCATTTCCCTTCTCCAACCAAGGTAGGGGAGCACCTCCCTTCCCCAAATGGGGCAGAGGGAGCATCATCTCCCTTCTCCAAGTGGGAAAAGGGAGCACCTCCCTCCTCCACCCAAAGCAAAGGAGCATCTCCCTTCTCCAAGTGGGGCAGGGGCAGCATCATCTCCCTTCTGAAGGGGGACAGGAGAGGAACATCATCTCCCTTCTCCATATGGGGCAGAGGAAGCATTTCCCTTTCCAAGTGGGGCAGGAGGAGCATCATCTCCCTTCTCCAAGTGGGGCAGGAGGAGCATCATCTCCCTTCTCCAAGTGGGACAGGGGAGCATCATCTCCCTTCTCCAAGTGGGACAGGGGAGCATCATCTCCCTTTTCCAACCCAGCCCTTCCCTTGGATCGTGTCCCTCGCACTGGCTCTGTTGTTCAGGCACAGGAACAGTGTCCCACCATTTGGGAGTAAATATAATAACCCCTTTATTTTTATCCCCACTTCCTAGCTCCAAGGCAGGCACCCTGAACACTCACACACCTTTCTCAGGCACAGCTCAAGTTATTTCATTGCTAGAAAATGCCGTTTCCTGCCCAGACACCTCCAAGAAATGCCTATTTTTGCAGCTAATGAATCTCAGTATTGTCAACACAAACACTGAGCTGCTTGAACAGCAAAAGCACCCTCTGGGGAGAGGAAATGATGGTGCAAACTCCAAACAAAAATTGCTCTTTCCTTCACACAACTTCACAGAGCCTTTGCAGGGACTGGGGGACGAGCAGGAAGCCACTTCAAAGGCAGCTCCTCGGGCTCATTAAGATTTGCTCCCTCCCTTCAAGGGAAGGCCTGACTTGCAAAACAACTTCAGGACACATTTTCAGAGCTTCTGAGCTGGCAGGGACCTGCTCTGATCACGGCACAAAACAGCCTGAAAACTGGAAGTGCAGCCCCACAGCCCAGCATTCCTGGAGCAACTGGAAAGCTGCCCTTTCCCAGCACTGGAAAAGTCCTTTCCCAAAACTCCAGCCTCTTCCCTTGCCTGGGTTATGCAACAACTTCCTAAGTGAGCAAGTGCTGAATAAAGATATCAAAGCAATTTTCACACTTGGAAATTACTTGTCACAGGGATGTGGATCAGGAAAAAAAACCCTGGAGCCAAGAATCACTTCAGCAGAGTCGGTAACGTGTGTTTTTATGCAGAAACCTCGGCAAGGATAAAGGATCCAAAATGCAGCAAAAGGGAATTTCAAATCCCAACACAACCCAAAATTTCACAGCTTTCCAAAGCCTGGAGACAGTGCCCTTGGAAGAGGCCTGGAGATCATTTCTGCCTCTCCCAAAGCCAGCTCTGTTCAGCCTCCAGGCTCCCAGAGCTCTGCAGACCATGGAATGGTTTGGGTTGGAAGGGACCTTAAAGATCACCCAGATCAACCCCCTGCCATGGGCAGGGACACCTTCCACTAGCCCAGGTTGCTCCAACCTGGCCTTGGACACTTCCAGGGATCCAGGGGCAGCCACAGCTTCTCTGGGCAACCTGTGCCAGGGCCTCCCCACCCTCACAGCCAACAATTCCTTCCCAA